CAAACACTCTTTTAATCTGTGACCTTTTTTATTTAACTCAGGTCTACATGGGCAAAAAAGCGTTTTGACCCCAGTTTCTACATGATTTACGGGTCTACCTGTGCCGGTTTATAATTGTGTATTGCCCTATAGGTCTCCCTAAAGAATTAGGACTACATATTGTTTTATTTCATAGTGCTTTTAGGATCCAATCTGCTGCTTGATTCCTGTGGTTTGTTTGGATCGGGGGTAACCAACCGGTTGTCTCTCTTCCCTCAATCTCTAAGGGGATGGCGTAAATCCTTTCAACTTTGGCCAGTCTAGTCTGATTTATGCCTAAGACATTGATGACTGTAGGTGGGTTTAGGGCTTTCTCTGAACTTTTGTCACTGAACTGCACCTACTACTTTCTGGGGATGACAGATTATGGTGGAGGTGTAGCTACTGTTAACAGGGAGAACTATCTCTGTAAACGGGTTACCTCTCTAAGATATTTTGCCTCTCATCCAAGAGGCTTGTTTAGTTCTAACCTGGGGGGATCAATGCCACCGTTTGTCCCCCATAACTCTTTGTTAGACCCACAGTATATTATTCTAAGCTCTCCCCACCACTAGTCAGAACTGAAGAAGCATCTTGTATAAGAGACGAAACGTCTTCTAGAAAACTCCACGTCCAGTTGCCTAAATGGAACTTTTTTAAGCTTAACAATGACCTGGATGAGTGAGAATCTTCATAGATATCTATATGTTTTATGACTTCTAACCTTGAGGCAAACTTTTATCAGTTGTGTCAGTGTTGTGTGTTGTTCTATACAAAACTCCAAAATACAACACTTCCTTGGAGACTGTGCTGATTTTTAGCTAGATTCCTGCCGAAACACGAGCACATTTTAATATTCATGTTTGCTGTCTTGAAAAAACATTGGCCAAATATTTTTCATCACATATCAATTATTTTAATTTTGTTTAGGTTGTTTTGGTCTGAATGTGATTTCGATTTGGCTCATGGTTGTATTTTCAGACCATTTGCTGTTGTGTTTGACATGGCAGTCATCTGTCAGTCAGTCAAACCTCCTGCTTCAGCGTATATCGCTCTCGCTTTATAAACTCCACTGTCGAAGCTGCCTTTTCCTCCAATCAGTCCTAGCAATTCCTTGGGGATTAATTTAGATGTTGGGGCTTTGTTGTCTCATTTCAACTTAATCTGCAAGACTGTTTTCAGACACAGTGGCTGCATTGAAAATAAGACCCTTTAAACCCAGATCTGAGCCCTGGCTATGGTATGCCATACATAATGCCAGGTGAGATTGCAAGAGAGTTGAATTTGTAATGGAGAAAGAAGGACAAGTTACAGATGATCTTAAAGATGCAGAAAGATTGCTGGTGTTGTTGTCAAACAATAGTGAAAACTTAAAAAAAAAAATGTTTTTGATATTATCACCTCTAACTGCAACAAGCATCAAATTTAAGATCATTAACTTTGCTCTTAATGTTTTAATGGCTGACCAAAAATCTTGGCATGGACCTACAGTAACTGATGTATTGTTGTTGAAGCCCATTTCAAAACTTTTTAAACCTGTGATGGAACTGAAAGGGCAATGTTGATGATTTTTAAACATATTCTCTTAGCCATATATTCTGGTCATTGTTTTTAAATGTTGTTAAATCTAACTGCCGCTTTTACAAGAGTGGATCATCAAATCTCACCTTGGAAAGAGGGTGGGAATTCATAGTGTTGGTCTTGAATGGTTCAGTACTTGTATACCTAAGAGATGTTTTTGTGTGCAAGTTGATTCTGTTGAGTCTTGAATAGAGCCCCTTACATGTGGGGCTCTAAAGGTGACTATACTTTGCCTTCTTCGGTCCTTCATTTACTTACATCTTCTGGTTTAATCCTTCAGAAACTGTGAAGTGCCTTTCATTTCCATGCTGATTACTTTCAAATTTATATGCCATTAAAACAAGGAAAGCAGGATGCTGGTGAAGATTTATAGTCATCCAGCTCATCGTCATTACAAAAAACGTTAAAAAACAACCACTGGACTTTGTTTTTTCAAATTTGAAGATGTTTCGCTTCCCATTCAGGAAGCTTTTTCAATTGAAAATGTCAGAATTAGCATTGAGTTCCGAGCTGCACAGAATAAATCCATAATCAAGTCAAGTTATTATTTATATGAAGCAACTCGCTAAAGCAAAATTCTTCATTTTGTGATTTGAATTCATGCTTTTTTAAGACTCAGGTTATTGCAATGGTCTTCCTGTTGGGGAATGATAGACGCCTTTTAACATGAACATATCACTCTTGGTTTAGCATTTCTCCCTTGTTAGAGTATTGACTTGAAAGTTATTTTATTCTTTTATTTTAAAAGCTTCTACATGGTTGTGCCCCTCAGTATCTGCCCAACCTTATTAAAATGTATGATCCCTCATCTTCTCTCGATTCAGGCTGATCAATTAACGTTTGTTGTCCTATAGAGGATGTTGAGACGTCAGAGAGCTTTTTTAGTTGCTGTCTCCTGACTGTGGAATAGGCTGCCATTGCAAGTTGGACATACTTACTGTCCTCTCTAAAAAAAGGAAATTCTGCCAAAAAAAAAAATCAGTTTGAGATTGGGCGATTACTCTTTTAATTTTTAATATGAATCATTTAACTATCTTTAGAAGTTTGTTTAATATTAACTTTTTTTCAGGTAGTTGTGGAATGATTGCATTTATGCTAATCTACTAGCCTAAGCATACATTTGTTTGATTAGTTTGATCAGTTTAGACTTTGGTCAACAACGTTCTGTATGAAGTGATTTATAAATGAATTAATGATAATGAATTAATATGAAAATTGGTTCACAATGTCCAGAAATGAAACATAGATTTTTTTTTCAACATTGCTCGATCAGCCAGGGTTTTAAATAGGTATTAGCCACCGTAGATTAAAGTAATTTTACCTAAATGCCCTTAGTTTGACAAACACAAGTTGTACTGTTTCGTAATACTTTGACATTATCTCTTCCTTAGGGTAATAGCCAGTATCTCCTGTTTTTTATGTAGAGAAAAACTCTGTCATTAAAATTTTCTCACTACATCTTGGGTTAAAAACAGCAAATATCTGCAACTTGTTTCAGTTCCTACATATTTTGCAATAAAATTTCCTCTCATCTTCAAATAAAAATGATAAACCTAAGGATGAAATTATGATACCTTGCAATTACAGGACGAGCTCAGGCAGAAAGAACAGACTGAAGGTAAGAGATGAGGGTGGAAAGACAGAACAGAAAACATGGTAAGGAAGGAGGATGCCAGAAAGGTGAGAACATGAAGAAGAAAGGTAGGACGCATGGAAAAACAGTTAATGAAGGAAGGAAACAAAGGTGAACCAATACAGTGCAAACAAGAAGAAAATGAGGACAAAGCAAGGAAGGAAGGAGATAAGAAAAGATGGTTAGTCATAATGAAGGAGGCAAGAGAAGAACATCAAAGAGACAAAGCAGATGAAGTAAGAAACGCATAAGGTAGAAACTATAACAAAAGAAAGAAGGAAGGACACAAGGAACTTTCAAGGATGATAGGAAAAGCATATGTGAGAGGAAGAAAGTATGAATATAATTAGAAAGGAAGGAATAAAGGACGCAAAGAAGGAAGAACACAAAGAGAAACGATGGCTAAGAGATAATGGAACAGAGAATAAAGTTCTGAAATACTAAGATTTTTCAATTTTCGGATTTGCATTCTCCCTACTTTCTTATGTCAAAAAGTTTTAAATAAAAATTCACATTTTCCTTGTCTGAACTGGAACAACTGTAACCCTTTTCTCCTTTTTATGATTTCACTGTTGTTCAATATTCAGTGATCTAAGCAATGACTATGGTATGATGCCATTAGAGCTCCGTCTCTGATGAAAAAAAACAAACAAAACATTACAAAGCTGCGATTTGACTCACTGTTACCCAGCACATTTTATTGGTGATGAATTGTTACCGGGAAAACAACCACAAAAGCTAAAGATATGGAAAATAAACAAGACGGTAACAAATAACAGTGTAAAAAAAAAAGAAACTGAGCTCCATCTGAAGGAGCCATGGTTACCGGATGATGTGAGTGGACAGATGGAGTTAGTTAAGGCAGGAACGAGGGGGAAGCTGATGCAGGTGGCAGCGACAGCAGTACAAGAAGGAGGAGCCTGTCTGTCTCTATGTGGACATATAGATGTATGGATTTGCATGAGAGACCCAGATACACACGTCTATGTACAGGCTATCACTTTGCATTTAAGCAAGAGCATCAATCCTGTTGCCCAACTTCGATAACAGTTGCCCATGTAGGTGTGGGTGAATCCATCTGTGGACGACCGTGTGTGTATGCGGGTGTGTGTGATGAATTAGTGATGGCAGCTGGTAGAGCAGTGTGATCCCTCAGCAGTGGTGACAGCAGCTGTTAGTGGTGCCGTCTCCGCCCAGCCAGACTGACTGGGTCCTCTTCATCAAACACACTGGCTCATTAATGCTGCAGGACCCGCTGCCGCAAAGCACCGCCCCATTCGAAAACCCTGCGGCTGCAGAGCCAGGGAAGAGGAGAGGAGCTGCAGGGGGCCGGGGGCTGAGCCCTGAATATCATCAATATCCGTGGCTGACTGGACATGTGTGTTTGTCGTTAAACTGCTTAGGCATCTCTGTGTAAGCATGTCTACAGATGTGTCATTCTGCTTCTATGTGTTTTGGCGTGAGTGTGTGTGTGCGTGTGTGTTAGGCTTAAAAATGCTGACAAATGACAATTCCACTTCTCAGATCCCTCTGCTGAGACTCGGCTGCTTCCTTTTTTTTCTTTTTTTAACCTGTTACTTGTGGAAACTGACGCAGGAAGATAAAGATGGTGCAAATGAGACAAGGAAGCATGAAAAATCTCAAATGTGCGCCTATCCGTGTGAGGCAGGCCTTTGGATGAATGCTAACAATGTGACTTTGTCTAAGTGTATCTTCACGGGTAAAATACGGGCCAGCTGGCCTGTACAGCAGGTGTGTCTGCAGATACCTGTAAATAGGTGATTCTGTTCTGGACCAGATCTGACAGATCTTTAGCCTCCTTCACTCTCCATTCTCCAACTCCATCTGCCTGGCTGAGGTAGTATAGGTCTGTCATGATGGATCTGCAAAAAAAAGGACATGGTTTCAAAAGTTGACATACCTGCACTGCAAAAACAATCCAGAAATAAGTAAAAAATGGCTTAAATTAAGTATATTTAGCCTTAATTTGAGCAGGTAAATAAGATGATTTGCCAATGGAATGAGTATTTTCACTCTTAAAATAAGATAGTTAGATAATATTTACTTGAAATAAGACGATAAAATTGTTTTTTCTTATTTTAAAAGGAAATTGTCTTGTTCCATTGGCAAAGTGTCTTACTTACCTCCTCAAATCAAGAAAAAACACACTTATTTTAAGAAAAAATAACTTATTGAGATTTATATTTTTTGCAGTGTGATTATACAAAGAAAACACTGATGATATATGATAGTAAGATTATTTCTATGAAGTACAGTTAATTCTTATTTTCTTATGTACCATCCATGATAACTAAGATTGAAATAGAGAGAAATTCAGCCAACGGTTAATCATGTATATATATATAAACTACCACTGGTTTAAACTAGTTAAAATTATCATTAATTGTGTTCATTTGTAGTGATATGCACAAATTCTATGACATTAGTTGTTGTAATCTAAGGTCTTGTCTGATGATTTTGTTTGTTTTTGCTCTAAGGATTTAAGCTTAAAGGTTATTTAATCATGTTACATGTCTATAAAAAAAACAAAACAACGAAAACCTTTTAATCATGATAAAATAAAGTAATTAGGGATGCACGATATTGGGATTTTGGCCGATATCCGATATGCCGATATTTTAAAACTCATGTTGCCGATAACCAATATCGATACCGATGTTAAAGCTGGACAAAAAAAAGTAGTCATTGAAAATAGCAGTTTTGTTATCCATTTCTGACACTTTGAAAAATAATATACCCAAATATATTTTCATATGCTGATATCAAATTGATTTTTAAAAACGCGGTATCGATCTATTTTACTTTCAAAATCTCGTGAAATTTCATCGTTCTGTTACAAACTCTGGTGATATTTTGCAAATTCTTGTGATATTTTGTTAGTAAAATAGATCGATGCCGCGTCAATATATCAACATATAAAAATAGAGAATAGTGAATTTTCGGGGGATTTCGTAGCATAACGATGACATATAGCAATACTTCATTAGTAAAAGAGATTGATATGGTGTTTTTAAATGGCAATATATCAGCATATGAAGATATTGTGATATTTTAATGTATCAATATTTTTTCCCTCAACTTTAGAAGTTTTTAAGTCTGTAAAAAATAAGTTTTTGAGGAAGAAGAAGAAGTATTATTTTTTTTTTCTTTTTTTTAGACTTTAGAACTTAGAAGCTGATCAAATATCGGGTCAAATATCGGTGGGGTGGCCGATGTCCGATATTCAGTTTTAAGGCCGATACAGGCCGATACCGATAGGGGGCCGATTATATCGTGCATCCCTAAAAGTAATATACACCAAATGCTCATCAGGATGGTGTTTCAAATTTATTAATTTTTTTTCACTAAATAGAATTTCTGCACTAGTTGCAATGAGCAGCATAAACATCTGCTAAAAGTATCAAAAGGCCAGATAACAACAACTGATGCAGCTCTACAGTCTGACCATCTTGTGATGCCTTACTGTGAAGCGACAGCTCGGCGTGGTCGAAGAACAACCTGACTAACAGCCACTCCAAGTACTAAAGGATCCTCCACAGAGCCTCTTAGCTCAACACCAAAGGAAAATAAACTTCCTACCAATCGCAAGCGAGGAAAAAGCATCAAAGTAAGATCTATTTTAATTAAATAAAAAAAATAAGTCATAGGCTACAACATTTTTATTGGAATGAATGCAAATAAAAAAAAAATAACAATGCTGCTCCCTGTAAAGAGCCTTGTTGAACCCTACATTTAATTTGATCTGAATAAGCTTTCTGGATTTTAGCAGCTATAACAGAGAATAACCCCCACCTCTGATTATTTTAATCAATCTATTAATTAGATTAAAAGATATTATTTAATCTCATTCTAATTTATCACTCATCAACCATCAGCTAGTAAGGACATCCATTAACTTTGCGGTAACATCTAAGGCTACGTTTACACTGCAGCCTGAAAAGACCCAAATCCGATTTTTTTGCCCACATGCGACCTGGATCTGATCTTTTCATGGCTGTCTGAAGTACACAGTTCCGATTTTTTCCAATCCAACCCAGGCCACTTGGCTATGTGGTCCTGAATCCGATACGAATCAGATTTTTTCAAATGCGACCTGTGTGTGAACGGGCAGGTCGCATCCATCCCACCTGAACGTCATTAAGAGCCGACAAATTATTATGCGTCTTGCTGCGCAGAAGAGGCAAGAAAAACAACAACTATGGCAGATGATGATGCGGAGAGCAGTGTTTATGTTTCAACATATTGAAAAGATTGTATTTTTATGGTTGGAAAAGACCGCTGGCATGCACGCCGACACTAACATCCATATTTACTTCCGTAAAAAAAGAGCACGCTGGCCTGTGACGTCATTGCGTCCTCTACTTAGCATGCGGGACACTTGCGTTGTATGACTGCAGTTCACACAGGAGATCACATACAAGTCACATATATTTGGAGATATGAACGGCAACGCAAAAAAAAAAAAAAAAAATCGGATTTCACAAAATAATCGGAATTGAGCATCAAGGCCTGCAGTGTGAACGTAGCCTAAATTCCTCTCTAGCTTCAGCCCCTGCTGTAGTGAACGCCATTCAAGAGTTATTCTTCTTGGAATCAAATATTTTTGGTGCTTTTTCACTAGATATTAGACCTTTGTTTATTGTTTTACAACTCAGTCGGGAGTTCCACAACTGAATGCCTACTAATACCAAAATGTTGGGCACTGAGTGCACTTGGGGGTCCTTGAATAAAGATATAGTGGAGGATGTTCTTTTTCCACGTGGATCATCAAAATAAATGGTCCTCCAAATTGTCAATCATTCTGGTGATATATTTACGTAAGGTCGTCCTATATGTTAGTCCGCATTTTCACTTACCGGTGGTAAGTCTGACATAGTAGAAACATTGCAAATCATTTTTGGAAGTAAGCTTTGTTTGTGCATGCTCTCCCATCCGTTTAATAGGGGTTCTGTCTCTGGAGTGGTACAGGGTTGTGCATATGTATTTTCTTTCTAAAGTTGAGAGGGTGGATCTTTTCAAAAATTCAAGAAAATCCTCCACTATACCTTTAACTATGGGGTTTTGAAATCCACTACAGCCATTAAACTAAACAATAAGAATTTCTGTTAAAAGTGCTTAAAGGTATAACAGCAAAGCAACTACTTTAAGTGTTGATTTTGTTTGTAATCTCATCAGACCTGTGGTTGACTTATTTAGAAGGAATATTTGTAGAATCAACCAGTAGTGAGGGTCAGGAATTGAGCCACGTTTGTGGCTGAGAAGCTGAGAAGTTTGGAAACCTCTGTGCTAGTCTTCACTGCTTCTGTATGTTTATGTATTATGTCCATATGCAATATTATTGGTGTTGTTATACACAGAAAGGGCTTTATTTACCAAACAAGGCATTAAACATAAAAGCAACAAATAATGCGCCTGCAGGATGGGGTCATTTTTCATAAAAACCTTGTGGACAACCAGAATGTGCTACTGGCGTATACATTTCAGAAGTCAACATGATTAATGCCCATTTAAGCACTCAACTGGTTTAACTTTCGGGCTACAGCAAACTGTGTGGGCTTAGAGATTACTGGAGAGAAAGAGAATACATCTCATATGGAATTGAAAATAAAATCAAATGAAAAAAAAAAAAAAAAAAAAGAAACCAGATGGTATGTAGTGTGTGTGTGTGGGGGGGGGGGTATTGCTTGGGGGAAAGTTTTGGTAGCAGCGAGCTTAAAGAGAAAAAGAAAAGTTAAATGCAAATTTGTTCTGTATATAAACATTACAGATAAATATAGTAGGTTACATAAGAGCCTCTGCAGAAAAGTGCTCCATGGCTGCAACCACATGCAGGTTTGTTAACTAAGCCTGGTGCTTATTTGAGCATCTGTTTATCTATTTATTTAGAGAGTAGTGTTTGGGTTGGTGTAGATTAAAAATTGCAAATATAAACTGTGAAATTACAGATAAACAGATGGCAATACCTGACTCAGTAACTGGTGTATGTATCGATATCAAAACAGCCATGAGCTTTCTTTTCATTATGATAAGCAGCCATGTGAAGCTGCTTTGTTGGAGGGATTTTTTTTTTGTTTTTTTTAAATCTCACTTTTTGCCAACAGAGCTTGTTTATACGAATGAAGGTGATAGCTGATCACAGCTCTAAACCCTCATTTGCTGGTGTTTAATCACACGGTGCCTGAACCCTGTACTCTGGTGATGCCTTGGGAGGTTATATTTATATATAAAAAAAGGCCTTTACCAGCAGAGGACCGTCTCTCTACAAGAAAACATTAGTTTCAATTGGGTCTTATCATTAACTACTAGCAATTAACATGTAATTAGTTGATGTACTGTTTTTAAATAGACAGCTAATATAAAACTGATAACCTTTTGGGGAAAAGAATGTTTACTTCTTAGCAGCTTCTTTGATGGGTTAAAAAGTTTAATTTCCAGTACATGTTTCAGAGTCCCATTATGTAATGCAAATAACACAGAAACAATGATCTTTTAGAGGTTATTGAACATTGAAATAGGTCGTACAGCATGGAGTTACGATGACTTCTAACTTTTTCTTCTCACAGGAGCTACAGTACAGCCTGTGTCTGCATCAACTGCAAGAACAACCCCTTGCTCACACTGGCTCCGGTGCAGTTACCGAGCCGACGGAGACCGCAACTCCCGCACACCCCCTCTCACACCGCCCTTTTGACTACGGTGCGGTGCGGCTCTGCGGCTCCGGCAACAGGTCCAGAGATTTAACAGAAGTTCACTTGAGTTCACGTAACTTCACACGATAACACGGCCCAAACAAGGATATTTGCGAGAGCTTGTTGCGGAGGGCTCCGGCATGCCGCAAGGATAGCTTTCTTGCGGAATTTTC